TTAAAATGTGATGTGCGAAAGGTCTGGTCAGCCTTGAGATTCACGTCTGCTCTGTGACCTTCTGATACTCGTGACAGAATGGCGTTGCGGTAAAGTGTCGAAATAATATATACTGTTTTACTCGTGTTTGAGTCTCGTTAAGGATGCTGATGAGACTAAGGTGAAACGAAAACTAAAGTCCATCTCGGATAAAGATACCTTTTTTTGAGGCAAGAATGAGGGAAATATAGTGACATCATATTCAATTGTTAGAAAATTAATCATTTCGTACTCCATTGACTAATACTACCTAGATGGAAGTGGTCCGACCTCGTTTCCACAACTTGGTTGTGTTGTCAGAGCGACCCAGTTGGATGCTCCTTGTACGGAGTCCTCCGCTATAGTATTCATGATAATTTCCAGCATCTTACCATGGACTTGGTACATTCGCAGACGTTTCATCAGTGGGTATTGCCATTAGTATCATCTATAACTCTGTATAGAGACAGATTAAATCCCTCGTTTGACCAACTGTCTGCTGAACAGTTGTCGTATCTCTTCTTCTATCCTGGCACATTCACCTATCCTATATCTTTGTATTGCCGTCTGCACTATCACATTGTATACCTTGTTCATTTCAACCTAGACCAGGTATGCCATTTTGAGCGCCTTTTGTGAGGCTTAAATTGACAGTAACTATTATTAAAAATTATTTTGCAAAAGATTATCAAGTACTTCACGACTGCCGAATTATTCGTATAAAGTGGAAGATCATAGGCTAATAAAAAATTTTTATTTGAGGTAGACCAACTTTTCAAAAAACCAGCAAAAATCCAGTTGAAATAAGGGAAAGAGTTTTGAAATAGGCTGGTTAAATTAACAAAATTATTGCGGTAAAACTTGGTTTCAGCCGTCAGAAGCCTGCTTGTCGTCAAGGTGTACCAGTTTCGAATGGGTTTTTTTACTGAATTGATGTCGATTTTGGCCACACTGAAGTGAAGAGGAGACTCAAATCTTGCAACCGAAAGACCCTTTTGCTTCAGGCCAGACTGCGGCTTCGTTCTATCGACATTCTCGATAGCTGTGTGGGAGGTAAACTATTAATTGAAATTATGCAGTATCGTAGTGAGTTTAAGTACTGGCAGAAGGTTGCATATAAGAGGCATAAACGAGGTTAGTGTAGGTGTTGTGTGATTGTGAAAGTTTTGCTTGTCATATATCACAATTAAGCAATATATTTGACCCTAGACCAGCAAATCCTTGCCTCAAGTTGTGCAGAAGATGGTGATGGTATTAAGGTTAGGTCAACATCTATCTTCGGCGTGGATGAGGGTGGATTTTCAAGGCCTAAGACTGAATTATGAAACAATAGGTATAATAATGGCTCAATTTATATGTGGGCATCCAATTAGGTTGCCCCCATCTGTTTGTTTAATGTCAAAGTAAGCTCCCCTGCCAACACGTATTCTTCAACAGAAAGAACAAATCGGCAAAATAAATGGGAAAGATAGAAAAATGGTCTGACCTCAGTTTCGCACAATGGTCGTGTTGTCAGGGTGATATAATTGGTGAAAGTACCAGGTCATAAAAAGAGAAACTGCAATTGTCTAGCAGATATTTGGTTAAAGGATGTACTTCAGTTGTCTCTTTGACGAGTCATAGCTTGGCACTAAGACCGGCAAGGCTCACTGATAATGCCAGTGAAACGTCTCGGAATGCACCAAGTTTACGGTCCAACTCTGGGAATGATGATAACAACTACGACAGAAGATTTCGAAAAACGTGCGTCCAACTAGGTCGCCATGACAACACGACCAAGTTGTGTAGAGAAGGTCAGGCTACTTCTATACAGCAAATGGAGATTATGACCAAAATAGAGGCCGCATCACCTTAGTCTTCATATTGCGGAAAGATATATTTTAGTATTAAAAGTAGGGATTTTAATCAACCCAAGCAGGATTAATGCCGAAAGTGGGCATCTATATGTTTACTTGTTCTTGGTCTTACCATATTTTTGCTACATGGCCGTGTTGTCAGTGTGACTCGGAGGACATACCTCATTTAGAGTCCTCTGCCAGAGTAGTCATGATAATTTCCAGTGTCAACTCGTGAGATTGTCTTTAGAACCAAGTCTCACATGCAAAGATAGACAAACGAGATTGTGGACAGAATGGAGGCCACTCCATTTTTGTCTTAAAGTCTCCACTTTTTCATTCTACTGTCCCTCCTGAAGCTCATTGGTCCCTATTCGCATCACGGCTAATAGCCAGATGGGCACGTACTCGTCCGATCTAGGTCGGGCCGACAGCAATCGGCTGATGTTTCCTTGCTTTTGTAAACAGAAAAGACTACCGATTGTCAAACAGGCCAGCTAGTCAGACGATTTCAGACTATCTTTTCTTGATGTTTGCACAAGTCTTTTGCATTCTAGTTCCGGCTAAGGCCAAGGCTGAACCTCATTTGACGGGAAAATGTATTTCAAATGTGAGAATGTTTCAAAATTATCACTTGTACGTGAATAAGATGTATCGAAATATCAAGGTGTGAGTTATACAGGATTTTTCCTGCAATGCAATTTAGCTTTACTAAATATTGCCTATTTGTAGTTTCAATCTCGCTCGGGCATTCAGAAGCTGGGTCTTAAGCATTGTGGAACACACTACCTCTTTGGTAGACAGTTATGAATGTCGCTAGATCTAAGGACATATATGTGACCTAGAGGACAGGCAGGGCATGGGCCAACTCACAAGTTATAATGAGATGATCGTTTTTTTAACTAGGCTTTAAGACTACCAGTACATGTGGTATGAACCAGTGAAGGACTGAAAGTTTAATTTTTCCATAGCAATATGAGCAAACATCAAGTTTGTGTTGAATTTCACACGTGGAACCCTTGGGACACAAGGCTGAGGTGAATTATAAAGAAGGTCAGGTCTTTTCCATATCCCATTTTTGCAGTGGAATTGCCGATCAAATACTAAACTACTTTTTTTATTATTTTAAGTGGGTTTTAAAACGTAAATACTACTCATTTAATTGGTGAAAAGACTTCAACTACTAGTCCTTCAACAGCTTCAACTATATAGGCTAAAAAAAGCTGATAGAGTGGGACATGAATATTTTATTAAAATTAAAGATATTACTTACATTTGCCATAAGTAGGCTTTATAGCAATCGACATTTAGAAACGCGTTGGGGCGAGTCTGGATGAGAAAACCTATATATGAGATGAGTTCACCCTATTTCGTTTAAAGTGATGAAGGGCTAGTAGTTAAATTAACCCACAATCATCTGAGCAGACCTTCATATCTGCATTGAATTTCACATAGCCCTGCTTCCCAAAAGGTCTTCTCAACCAGGTTAAAGTGGACTGCAGTTTCGAGCACACCTATGTCCTTTTAGCACCCCCAACAGGACTCGAACCATGACAGTACAGCGTGCAATCTTGACACGTTGACCACTGCGCCACATTGCCAAGAGTGCCCTTGGGTCATAGGGCAGATGTGAATTCCAAGGAAGTCCAGGAACTTTCTCATATTACCTTCTTACTTGTTTTTCGTTCGAGATTACCCATAAATCAGTGATACTACTTACAAACGAAAAAATAAGTAACGTAGTCTACTGTTATGGAAAATATAATTGTGCCTCATCGACAATCACAAAACAGAATGTGATATGGGAAAATGCATTGCCTTCCTTGAAATTCACATCTGCCCTGTCGTCTAAGGGCACTCGTGGCAATGGGGCGTAGTGATTAACACACTGCACTGTCATGGTTCGAGTCCCGCTGGGCGTGTTAATAGGATCTAGGCGAGGTCGAAACTGCAGACCAGTCTGAAATGGAATACACTTTGGAAAGCAAGGATTTGGTAAATTTAATAGAAATGCAAAGGTCCACTCATATGATTGTAGGGAAATTCAACTACCAGTCCTTCATCATCTTTAGCGAAATAGCGTGAATGCACATCTTATATCTGATTTATTGGTAGTCTCGAAGCCTCACTTACATACGAGAAAGCCCATTCAGAGGCGTGGATGTATGAAGCCATGCGACGGTATTGTTTCTCAAATTAGCTGGAGCGAGCAAGGCTGAGTAGGTTATGATGCGAGAAAAAAGTCTGCTCAAGTGTTCATCATGTGGGAGGAGAGAGTAGGCGTATTGAAGTCACCTTTTTTCCGGGAGCCTTTTTCTGCTCCATGCGCTCTGGACCGTTGAATGGTGGCGTCTGCATGCAGAAGCTTGGCTCCATCAGGACTGGGCCGGGCAGGCCGCAATTGGGGCTGGTGGAGCTGAACTGGGGCGGCAGCAGTCGCCGAGGCGGGCCCATCTGCCCGAGTCCCGCGTCCGCGGGGCAGCCGGGCAGGCAGTGGTGCTCGAGGCCGGCCTCGAACTGGCCCGAGGCAGCGTCGACTGGGTTCGAGGCGCGTGAAAAGAAGTCGGCGGCTCTTTGGAGCGCCGACGCTCCGAGGCCCCGGCCCCTCATCGGAAGGGCCTCCTTCTGGCCAGCCAGCGGGAAGACACGCTTCTCGCCGTCTCCCGGCGTCTCGGTCGGCCGGTACGACGCCGAGCTGCCGTCTGCGGGCACGCGAGCCGCCGCCTCCCAGACGCGTCGGGCGGCCCGAGCAGGCTGCGGAGCACCGTCGGGCCATCCGCCGGCCGCCTCGCCGAGCGCCGACCAGCAGCAAGCGCACTGAGAGGCGCCCGAGGCCGGGACTCGAACCGGCCACCGGCTCGGCTCGTGCGCCGGACCCGGACCCGGACCCGGCTCCGGCGGCCGCCGCCTTCCAGACGCGTCGGGCGTGTCCGCAATCTCGGGACCCCGCCCGAGCGCCGGAGGCGGCGGCGGCGCTGGTCCCAGAGGCGGTACCGAATGGCCGCGCCTCGTTCGAGTCCCCTCCTCGATGGCGCCGCAGGCCGCCGTCGCCACGGCCTCGGGCCGAGCCCGCATCGGCTCGACTGTCGAGTCCCAGCCGGCCACGACCCTCGATGGCACCGGCCGCACACCACGCCCCGGCCAGCCCGGAGTCTCGCCGTCTCGGCAACTGGGGCAGCAGGGCGAAGAGTAACCGGGGCAAGTGGCAGCCGTCTCCATGGAGACAGACTGTACCCACTCGATGACGCGGGCGAATGTGGCCCCGAACTGGACGGGCGGATGGGGCGGAGCCGGGGTCTGGGCCGTTCCGAGCTGACTTGTCTGGTGGCACCGACCGACGACCGGACGACCGGTCGCCTCGATTTCCGCCTCGAGACAGCTCGCTCTGGCGGACTCATGGAAACGTCGCCCGGAATTCGGTGTGCCCGATCTGGAGGTGAAAAGCCGGGCGTCTGCCGACTGATCCCGGCAGGATATTCTGAACACACGAACATTGTATGCAATTGAGGTAGATCGGGTGAGAGAGATTTTATAGAAGTTGAGAGCCAACAACCACACCCACTGAGTAAGAGGAGAAGCCGTGACGTAGTCCATGCACACAACCCACAATGGTTGGTTTATGTACGTGAGGAAGCGTCTGCGACCCCATTCACTAAGCCTGCCAGGTAAGCATGAGGTAGCCAAAAAGCCATGAGATGCTTAATTTAAAATGCAAAATTAGGTAGAAGGATACGAAAAGAGACTGGGCTTCGATGAATCTCCTCAGATAACATTGTTGGGGGGACTTTCATTTCGTATGAAAGTGCATGAAGAAGCGATTCGTAGGTCGATCTCACCAGAAGAGGTCGGATGAATCCCATCGTACTGCTGCCGTCCTCATCTGGTCAGATCGACCTACGAATGTCTTCTTCATGCACTTTCATACGACTTTCATACCCAACAATAGGTATAAGGAGTAAGCAGGATTTGATTTAAGGTGATAAAGGCGTTGGTAGTTGAATTTTTCCACAATATTATGAGTAGACCTTACGTTTCCAATGAATGTTACATAGCTTTGCTTTCCCAAAAGATAGTATTATCGAGGGTGGACTGCAGTTTCCGTCGTGTCTAGGTCACGTCAGCAACCCCAGCGGGACTCGAACCATGACTGTGGATTAGACAACTTTTCGGGCAGACAAGGCTTTGCGAAATTCATTGGAACCGTAATGCCTACTCATGTCATTGTGGGAAAATTCAACTACCAGTCTCCCTATCACCTGAAACAAAATAGGGGGAATACATCTCATATAGTCTCTTAAATCCTACTTGTAAACAATAATGAAGTGGGATTTCAGCCTGTCACCTTTCTTAGTTTAATGTTTTCAATGAATATTTTGTAAGCGATGGTTTCTCACTCTGACGCTGTCAATACCATGATGGACGAAAGCTAAGCATCGATTCATGTAGTTCGCAGGACGGTGAGAGAAGTCTGTTGTAC